TGCAAAATGAATTACCTTATTGTTCTCTGGTAACAAGCAGTGCATATCTTGCAGACATGAATTCAGGTAATCATTTTTTAATACTACATATCTCATGGATGAAAATTTGAAAGAATTCCTGTACAGAACTGAAAAACTAAGAGATGACACCTAAGCTGTTACAAGATTTTGAAGATTTGAAGAAGCTGTATAGTTTTCAAGGCAAGAGGGACCACTTTAATTTTAAATATAGTAGTGAGAATGTTTTTGTTTTTATTCTTGTGTTACTGCAGCGGAATATAATAAGCTATTTCAGTACAACCCCAGTTTTCATGGAACCAGTATTTGCTCTTTAATTTATCCACATTCAACAAAATATAGTGTCCCTAGGCATTTCTAGGTCCTCCAGCATGACTCTGTGCTATTCCTGGGCCAGAAGTACTTCATTTGAATAGTATTTGTGATTATCTGTGGTTTTGGAACATATCCATGTGGTTATGAGAGTTTTACTTTACTCCCATTTTACAGATGAGAACTGGAAGCAAATAGGCTATAACTTTCAAGTCATAGCTATGGCAGAGCCGAAACATGATTTTGAGTCTCCTTTATCTTAAGTTTCCCTTATCTGTTCTAAGATACCAGTGGGTACAAGAAATATGGCCCTCTTTCTTTCTTGTACCCACTGGTATCTTAGATCAGAGTTTTTCAAACTGTACTCCTCCAGATGTTTTGGACACCAATTCCTAACCGCTGGTAAACTGACTGGGATTTCTGGAAGCTGAAGTCCAAAACACCCAGAGAAGCACTGTTTGAGAAATACTGTCTTAGAAAATATAGTGTTCTTTTGATATAAATAAAAGTATGTTCCTGGAAGAATAGCTTGTACTTTCCTTCAGCTGAAATGTGAGTGTTTTTGAAAGCAGTCCTATACAGCTGTACCAGGAAGGAAGTTTTGTTGACCTTGATGCTTATTAATTTTGAATAAACAGCATAGGATTGCACTGTGAACTTGTCTCCCTTAGTCAACATGTTGTGCCAGTTACCTATCCATTCTTCATGTCTAGTCATAAGCGCAGCACATATCTTACATACAATTTATTTTTTTATCTGTGATCCTATGTTACCTTGACAGTTTCAGGATCCTATTTATTTTTATGAACTGTTCTTCTTGAGGATTGAAAACATGTATGGAGTTATGTGTAGGAAAGCTGTGTCTTACTGCTGTAGCACCAAACCTTTATCTCAGCTGGGCAGCTGCATAAATAGCCTAGCAGTAGACCAGTCCGACTTCATTCACCATCTTACTGTGGGCGTGTAGTTGTAACAGAATTTAAATCTAGTATGGCTTTCATCTTCAGAAAAAGTTCTTCTGTGACTTTCTAGAGGCAGTTTTACAAAGGGGGTTGGGTAGGAAATGGGCAGCTGTACCAGAATCATTAATGAAATAACATTGTGCAAGTGGAAAACAAAATTAACAGAATGACAGATTATCACTATCATAACTTCTTTTAAGTCATAGTTTGAACAAAATGCTTTAACGGTGGACCCTGCCCAAAAGTTGCACAAATTGGTAATTCTTGGTCTTTTTGTCTCTCCAGAACAAGGGTTCTCAAACTATTTCAGCTGTGGAGCCTTTTTTGAAACAAAAGTTTATTGTGGAGATCTAAGAAACATTTATATATTATCTACTATATTATCTAATATATTATGCATAATATATATATCAGGCATGGGCAAACCTTTGGACACAGGGGGCTGTCATGCGTTTTAAAATTTGACAGATGGGCCGGGCCAGTGGCAGATGGATGGAGAGTGTTTGTGTGAAGTAATTGGGGGGGGGGGGGGCAGAGGGACACAGATTCCTATGCACATTGCACATATCTCGTTTGTTGTGCAAAAAGAAAGAAAGAAAAATACAATATTTAAGGGAAGAACAATTTTCACCAACATGGAAGGCCCCAGGGGGCATCCAGTCCAACTCCCTTTTGCCATGCAGGAAAAGCACAATCAAAGCACCCCCTGAGAGGTGGGAGGAAAATAGGGGTTTGGAAGCAAAGAAGAGGTAGAAGGATGTTGAGGAAAAGAGCTTGTGCAGCAAGGGAGGCAGGGGAGAAAGAGTCTGTGCCCTGGAGGACGTTGCTGCTGTTTCCAGCAGCTCAAAACTTTAATTTTTCTGCATTTCTCAGGAGGAGGAAATCACTCCTGGAGCCCCAAGGACTCCACACAGCACAGTTCGAGAATCCCTGCTCCAAACAATAAACATTGCTTCCTAAATATCTGATGTGGCTGACTAACATTTCTTTTCCACTGTGCCAGGGGCTGGTACCAGATTTATCCCTGTGCCAGTTTCATTAAATGTACAGTGTACAACATAGGTGTTAAAATAACATCCCAATTTCAGTGAACTCCATATGTTACATACATTGTAGACAAACTGATTCTGTTATATCTTGTCAAAAGATAACCCAAACAGAATCACAAAGAGGAATTGGTATATTTTGGAAATGAGAATGAAATGGCTCTTCCGGAAGTGCCGCGGCTGTTGGGTTCCTGGACTCCAGAGCCACTGGTCTTTCTCTTGGCTTCTTCCACAGCCGAAGCTTCTTCGTTGCCACTCAGAATCCAACAGCCACCATGTCAAGCAAAAGGGCAAAGACCAAGACCACAAAGAAGCGCCCTCAGCGGGCTACTTCCAATGTATTTGCTATGTTTGATCAGTCCCAAATTCAAGAATTCAAAGAAGCATTTAACATGATTGATTAAAACAGAGATGGCTTCATTGACAAAGAAGACCTGCATGATATGGTTGCTTCACTTGGGAAGAATCCAACTGATGAATATCTAGATGCCATGATGAATGAAGCTCCCGGACCCATACATTTTACTATGTTTCTCACAATGTTTGGAGAGAAATTAAATGGCACTGATCCAGAAGATGTAATCAGGAATGCCTTTGCTTGCTTTGATGAAGAAGCAACAGGCTTCATTCAAGAAGATTATCTGAGAGAATTGTTGATGACAATGGGAGACAGATTTACAGATGAAGAAGTAGATGAGCTGTTCAGAGAGGCACCAATTGATAAAAAGGGCAATTTCAGCTACATTGAGTTCACACGCATCCTTAAACATGGAGCAAAAGACAAAGATGACTAAAATAGAACTCTTCCCTCTGCAGTTCTCTTTAGATCTCACTTGCGGTTATTTGAGGGTTTTTTCCTGGTAGAACCTGTTGCTTGCATTTAGCTTTACAGCTTTTGCCTTGATGTATTTATCTATACCAGGCCATTCTGGCCCACTTTGCACCTGTGTAATCAGGCTGGCAATAGGGATTGTGATTGTGATAAAAAGAATTGGAGGGCAGGACCAATGACTGAGGGCCCAGGAAAAGAAAGTCTCAAATTTTCTGGTTTAGCTGGATTTTTACATTTTGTAATAATGCCATTTTGAAATAAGATTGCTATATCAATAAAATACCTCAAATGCTGAGAATGAAATGGCATCTCACATGGGGAAAAATATATCAAAATCCATAATTTTGTCCCCAAATCTTTCCCTTGACTTATACATGAGGCTGATGTATATGTGGATATTAAAATACATTTTATCCCTGTGCCAGTTAATTGCTATTAACACATGTTAATTAATAGCAAACAAGGCTGAAAAAAGCCAACCTTGTTTGACATTCAGCAAAACTACAAATCCCTTTGTTTTAAACATTCTAAAAGTTTGAATGTACCCATAATAAAAAAAAAACTTTGCTGCTTGATATACAAAATCCAAAAGGCAAGCATTTTGGCCATCAAACTGTAAATAATAAACTTGATAATTTATTCTCTGTAATAATACATCTAAATCTGACAGGCTTTTGTTTCATCCCTGTCTAAAAGCTGTACCAGCCTTTCCTGAATCAAGAGTGGGGTTGAAAGTAATTATGCCTACCTATCATGAAAGTTAAAAAAGAAGCTTTTTAAAATTTTGTTATACAGATCTCTATTTTGGGTGACTAAATTGACAGAGCATTGATTACTGTACTTTGCTGTTTCCCCAATGCCTCCTCCACCTGTACATTTGTGAATGAATGTTACAAAGACATGATACATGTTCAGTTTTTCTGTGTTCTAAAAGAATCTTTCTCTGTACTGATTAACCCAAACTTCCCACTCTAGCTTTTGTTAGTTCTTATTATCTAAAAATTTTAAAACATGCCAGGAGAATCAAGTATGAATTGTGACATCCATATAAATATCTGATCTTTCAGAAGCAAAACTTAACTTATTTTTGTCCTTTAGCAAGGATTAGGAAGAGGAAAGACATGTCAGGTTATAACATCAGCAAGACTGCCCAATTCATTTATGTCTTCTTCTACATTCGGGCCTGCAAATCATGGAAAATTTTGAAGCTTACACCAAAGAGGAGGTTCAGAATGTAACTGACTATTAGTTTGGCTAATAAACTTTAGTAAATCATTTGTTTCTCCATATGCTGTAATTTAGCATTTATGATAGGCTAGACTATTTGGCTTGTTTTGCTGTAAAATCATATCTATGAATTTCAGCCTTTTTTGTTTGTTTTGGAAAGTCCACGAGTGACTTCTAGTGGTTTCCAACAAAAATCTGTCCTTAAAGAACTTCTATTCGGTGTTTTATCTGATAGCCCTATTTATCAGTGAAGTTTTCTCACTTTTGGGTTTTTCTTTTCTTTTTTGGTTTGTTTGCTCTGACTACCTATGTAGAGGTTACTGCTGAAGCTGAAGTCAGCAGATATGTAAATCCATGTTTGGATTACTGAACTATTGTTTTGCTAATAAGAGCTTCCTTTGTTTTTCTGTTCAAGTGAGGAGGACTAATTTCCCTATTCCTGCATTTTTCTGTTTCACTTTTGAAATTTTTTCTATACATTTTCTTAACATGTTTCATTGTGCCTTTTCTTGCTACTTATATAATGCAAATGAACTGGATACTTTACAATTTTTTTTAAAAAAACCTTTTACTTCAGTATGATACATAAATGTACTGTGTTAGAAAATGATCATGTGACATCATTTTCCAGAGAAAGGCTATTTTCTCCTGTAAAATACTCCACATAGTTCAGATTTTATTCATGACACTTCAGTTGAGATTTCTTGAACACTATTAGTTTCAGAGTATGTGCTATAGAGAAGCTGCCTCTTATCCAAGAAGAGCATTTATTCAAGACTCTTTAACTTTTCCCTTTTCATATGAAACTATTTGGGAGTTCTTGATCCATTGGGAATAATCTGCTTTGAGCGATTGTAATCCAGCAGGAAACATTGTGTGTCCCACACAGAATCAATTGATATAGGATTTTTCAGTGAGTTCATTGTTGGTTTCCATGGAGACTAGCCAGCCTATCGGGAACAGCCATTAGATCATACAGAAAGATGCATGTCTCTTTGTAAGTTCAGTACTGAGCAAGTCAGATTCCTCGCTCGGCTTGACTTTCCTCCAGCATATCCAAGCTGCTGCAAGTAGTGGCCACCGATCATGCAAGGCTCACCCAGGAGACGCCTGACAGTGAATATTTTCAGCAACTTTTTTCAGGGTCGGAGACATTCTTCCTCCGATCCCCTTCTCCGCGTACTTCATAGGCGACGGAGTTCAGTGGTAGAGGTCCTCTCAACTTCTACACACAGAGTTATGGTGGCAATTTCCTCCGTAAACCCAGAGGAATTAAATGCTGCTTTCTATGAGAGAAAAAGTAAAGTATTGGCAATTTCCTTTGTATGAATTATGCTTGGACTTTTATTGCTCTGTGTCAATGTATCTGTGGTCTTTTTGCTATAACTAAGCAGAGATGAATGTTTGAGTCACTTTATATCATTAAAAAGGTTAATGTATTTTTTTTCAAGCATTTTTGGTTAATACTTTGCAACTGTCATTTTGTAAAGAAAAAGAAAAAATGTAGGAGTTATATCTTCTTGAAAGATTTTGTTTGGTCTTGAATTTTGTTGCAGGAAGGTCTAGGCGTCCTACGGCAAAATACACAAAAGTTGGAGAGCGTCTTCGCCATGTCATCCCTGGTCATATGCAATGCTCTATGGCATGTGGTGGCCGTGCTTGCAAATATGAAAATCCAACTCGATGGAGTGACCAAGAACAGGCTGTTAAAGGGCTCTATTCTTCCTGGTAGTGTGCAGTATTTGCTTCTGCTAGACTTTAAAAAAAAATCATGTGAATATCTAAATCTCTGCTCTTTTACACCTCAATTTTAAGTCCTGTCGAACTGACTTCTCAGTAAATAAGTTTCAGATTAGATTGTGTGTATGTGTATGTACTTTCAAATTGCCTGTCCACTCATGGTGACCCCATGAATTTTATAGGGGTTTTTAAGGCAAGGAATACTCAGAGGTTGTTTTGTCAGTTCTTTCTCTGAAATATAGACTACAACACCTAGTATTCCTTGACAGTCTCCCATCCAAACACTAATCAGGATTGACCCCACTTAGCTTCCAAGATCAAGCAAGAGCCTACTTTCAGAAAAAAATTATATACAGATTTGGGTTAGTCATCTTTCATATACGTAAACCAGCTAAATGAAGCGTGACTAACAAGTAACCATGCATGAACCATATAAATATGGTTTGGAAAGCTCTAGGTCTTGGGTTCATGCTTAAATTGTGAAAAATGGTGTGTGATGTCTAGACTATTATTTATTTCAATAGGATGTCAATCACAGTAAACCTGTCATATCGATTTCAAAAGGAATCTTCAAAAAACAGACTGGATCCAGCTCCTGGCTACAGTTCAGTGCATGGCTTTTCTTATAGAAACATTCAACCAGGAGCTTAAATTGTATAAACCATTTTATAAAGCTGTTAAAAGAACACTTTAAAAGAATGTGTAATTATTTGCTATGATGGATATAGAAATGTATGCATATCCTGTGTTACGCACATTCTAAATATCACAAGCTTTTGGCACCCTAATGGCATTTTGTTATGTAAAGTGTTCCAGCTACATAGGGATAAAAGGCGTTTAATGGCTTGAAAGCACATAGTTATCTAAATTGTCATGGCTTATTAGCTAGAAAATTACCTACGAATACCGAATCTGAAATATTTTAACCCCTAACTTTTCACTTCTTTCCCCACATTCTCAGGGTTACAGATAATATTTTAGCCATGTCTCGACCCTCAACAGAACTTATTGAAAAGTATAATATTATTGAACAGTTCCAAAGGTAAAATGACTATATTGGAATAAATTGCTATATTTTTCTGTTTGTAAAGCAAGTGTATTGTTCCTTTCCTGGCTTTGTTTGGATTGTTTGTGACATTTTATTTGAAGTTAAGAAGGAACATTGGAGGGTTGGGGGAGAGACTGAATGTGTGCCTAGTTCAGTAATGCCTCATCTTGTTCTTTGCCTAAGATGTGGTATAAAAACAGTAATTAACCTCCAACGTCCTGGGGAACATGCTAGCTGCGGGAATCCACTGGAACAAGAGAGCGGTTTCACCTACCTTCCTGAGGCTTTCATGGAGGCGGGAAGTAAGTTTGTTCCTGCTGTTGTTCCTTATAATTATAAAGCATGGTGCTGCAGGCTGTTACTGCCACCTACTTCCTAGGTTAAAAGCAGCGAGTTGATGAATATTTGCTTTAAAAAACAACTTGTAGAGAATGGGAAGTAAAGCACGCATTGATCCAGTGTGGAAGCATGATAGTAAATTAGTGTAACTGCCTGCAGTAGGTGGGTATCAGTGCTTAGTAGTGATGCTGAAGCTGTGATAGTATTGTATACTGACAAGATCACAATTGTATGCAGATTCCATTGTCTTTTGCTTCTTCAGGAAGGCTTCCTTCCCTGTCCCACAGAAAATGCCACATTTTTCAAATTGAGAAGACTTTCAATTGTTTGAGAAAGATGTCATTGAATTAGGGATGTTGTTATTTTTAGGCAAAATGTTATATTGTTCCTATTTAAGTGTATTCTGTTTGGAGAGGTTGCATACACATGTGTGCTCAACTCATTTTGTTTTATCATAGGTCTTCTAAATCAAGATTTCTGGGAAATACATTGTCTGATTTACAAGTGGAATTTAGAGTTCAAAGAGAAATTCCAAAATGCAGGAAACAAAAATGTTGTTCTTAAATCTGCTCAGATCTCTTTTTGAATACAAATCTTAACACTATTTGTGTTATAATACAATACATTACACTGTTTAGGGTCTTCTGATGGTGATAACACTATTCTACAATATTTTCTTTCTAGTTTATTTTTATAACTTTGGATGGAAGGATTATGGCGTGGCCTCCCTCACAACTATCCTCGATATGGTAAAAGTGATGACTTTTGCCTTACAGGAAGGGAGAGTAGCTGTTCATTGTCATGCAGGACTTGGCAGAACAGGTAAAGATACTAAACTACAACATCAATGGAAACCTGTTTTTCTGAAATTCAAAGTAGTGTACACAATGTATGAGTCTTACTAGATTGTTCAACACTCTGTACATATGTATAATGTGTATTCTGACAGAAAGCAAGCACAAAGTACACATTTTTAACTGCTGCTTGCATGCCTACATTTATATTCCAATGTTCTTTATGGAATATGTGCCACAAAACACTCAAGATGTTCTTTGATTTCAGTTAGCAGGTTGAGAATTTGGCATGAGAGCTATCGTAAAGTGAAGAGGGTTTGGTGGGACAGAAAACATTACTAGAGATACCTGTTGAATTACTTGTGATGATGTTTTCATATCAAATTTTGTTTTCATTTTCAATTCTGCCCTGTTCTCATGCTTACCTTTAAACAAACAACAACAAAGGGTATAGAGTTATTTACCAAAGTATCATTTAAGGCATGGAAGCATTCATCTAGCATTTTTAAAAAGTGATAAACATTAACATGGTTGCTCCCCATTTTCCCATAGGTATTGCTATGTTACTACTTTGCACACCCTTTACTTCAAAAATATTATTTGGAACCATTACAAAAGCTTACCGTGTTCCTACACTGATGTCATTTCCTGAGCAACTACCTCATCACACTAGAATATGTATCCACTTTAATTACAATTTCTGCTTCCTGCAGAATTCTAGAGTTTGTAGTTAGAAAGGGGGCATTCTGGGTCTCACTAAACTACAAACTCCAGAATTCTGCAGGAGGCAGAAGACGGATTTAAAGTGGATCGATGCTGTAGTGTGATGAGGCCACAAGTACCAATCTCATTGCTTCAAAATATTTCTTCCATTTTTATTTTTTTTAATCCCCATTTTGTTGATGGTGCTTTCTAAAAATAATTTTGTCCTTGACTTTTTGGATGCTACACTTGTGCTTTTAAAAATATTTTGCCCTGAAGGTTATTGTGTACATATTTTATGGAAAGTCTATGAATATATCTTTGTATACATAAATATATTTATAAGAGTATGATTATATTAATAAACATATAGAGTTTATCTGATTTTCTCTGTTTATGTTATGGAGGTTTTTGCTATGACAAGTAGGGGGAGAAAAAGAGAGACATCTTCTGTGCTATAGTTATGAGTTTCCATATGCACTCTTGAGTTACTTTTATTGTTTACATTAGTTTTCTCCTATTAAGTTTACCCATTTTTGTCTTTTTCTTTTCCAGGCGTTTTAATAGCTTGTTACTTGGTTTTTGCAACAAGAATGACTGCTGACCAAGCAATTCTTTATGTCAGGGCAAAAAGACCTAATTCTATTCAAACTAGGGGGCAACTACTATGTGTGAGAGAGTTTTCACAGTTTTTAATTCCACTAAGAAACGTGTTTGCATCCTGTGAGCCCAAAGCACATGCAGTGACTCTTTCCCAGTACCTGATCCGGCAGCGGCATTTGCTCCATGGTTATGAAAGTCGACATCTTAAACATGTGCCAAAACTTATTCATCTGGTTTGCAAACTGCTCTTGGATTTGGCTGAAAACCGGCAGATGATAGAACAGGAACTTATGGATCTACCAGATCTCTCAGCTGAAATTCAGGAGACTGTTTCCCAGCTAGATTCCACAGAGCTTGAAAAAGAGCTAACAAGGCAAGACAGCAGTGCTTCAGAGCCATTCTCCCTCTCAGGATCAAATCCTGTGAATCCCAGTGACAATGAATGTGATTCCCTTTGGAGGAGGAGGAACGTTGATTACCTTCAGCCTCTCAGTCGTTCAAAAAGACGTATGAGCTACAGTGACTCAGATTTAAGAAGAGCTGTGTTTGTTTCTGAGCAAGGAGAGACACCCTGGTCAGTGCCTGTGCAAATGCCACTCCGCAACAAGGAAAACCAGCAAGGTAGCGATGAGAACAATCAGACAAACATGGCAGACTTAAACAGAGAAGTTTTAATTCGAAATACATTTACTTTCGCAAGTCAGGGTAAATTTAATTTAAATAGAAAAGATCGTAATTCTCAATCTTGCCGCAAAGGCAGCTTTCCCAAAGAAGTACAGCGTAGTAAAACCTATTCTTCAGGCCTTACATGTCATCGGAAGGAAGAGGAAGAGGAAGATGACGAGGAACTGAAAGCATTAAACTATAATTGTTCAAGAATAGCTAATTTTTATGGTAAAAGAATGTGGTCCTCAGAAGAAGACTCAGACACCTGTAAAGCAGAGCATGACTTGTATAATAATAGAGACCCCTCTGAAATTCCCCATATTATTGTACAGTCTGAGCTCACTCTGGAGGGACGACGAGAGTTGGCAGCCAAAGCCCTTGCAGATGTAAATGAATTTATGGAAGCTGAAGAAGTGAAGCAGAGAGTGGAAATATGGCAGGTATTTTCATTAACTTCATTCATGTACTTGTTAAAGTGGGAAAGAGCCATTCAGAAATAATGAAGACTATGCCATCTTTCACAGTGCATTAGATATTCTGTTGGAGGCTATTGTAATACGTAGTTATCAGTAAACATGTAAGCTTGATGCAACTAAAGATCTCTTGATTTCTGCCTTTGAATACTATGAGATATTTAAATTTTAGCTGCTGAACTGATATGTGTGTGTCCTTGTGCATGTATAGAGGATTTTTCTTATTTGTGAGCTGCTTCATCTTGGTTTTATGACTGACCTGTGGCCTGAATAAAGTTTGGCTGACTAGCTACATACATAGAATCATGATCCTGTGGAAGATAAAGCTGAGAATGGGCTTTTATTTTTGTTAAGGCACTTCAGTGATCTGTCATAACATTAGACAAAGACAATTTATAGAGAACTGACTCAGATGTTTTTCTTCTGTTAGAAAGAACTAAATTCTCAGAATGGAGCCTGGGATAAGATATGTGCTGAGAGAGATCCTTTTATCCTCAGTAGTTTGATGTGGTCATGGATCGAGCAACTTAAAGAACCTGTCCTAAACAAGCATGATGTTGAGGTGTTAGCAAAAGAAAATGTAGACTCACAAGAAGCACTTACATTACTAGATAAGGTAAGTCTTGCACACATTTTTGTCCTTGGTTTTTTATTCTACTTGCTGTTTTAGCCTACTGGCATATATAAGGAAATGTGTATTTTGTTGTTTATTTTATTTATTTATTTAATGCATTTGTTGACCGCCGCTCTCAGCCCTAGGGCGACTCGCGGCGGTGTACAACATATAAAAACAGTTTACAAAAAACACAGAGTATATCAACAAACCATATAACACGCTTAATCTAAATTACACTAAACTAATCCGCACCGTCACCACATAGGGATCTACCAGTCTCATAATCCGTATTTCGTTCCGATTGTCATTGTCATTGTCAGTTAGTCTGGGACTAGTTAAATACCTTCTCGAAGAGCCAGGTCTTTAGGCTCTTACGGAAAGCCATGAGAGAGGGCGCCTGTCTGATGTCAGCAGGGAGGGCGTTCCACAGCCGGGGGGCCACCACTGAGAAGGCCCTCTCTCTCGTCCCCGCCAGACGCGCCTGTGAGGCAGGCGGAATCGAGAGAAGGGCCTCCCCAGACGATCTCAAGGTCCTCGTGGGCTCATAGGCCGAGATGCGGTCCGAAAGGTATTTTGGGCCGGAACCGTTTAGGGCTTTGTAGGATAACACCAGCACCTTGAATTGGGCCCGGTAGCAAATCGGCAGCCAGTGGAGCTGGGACAACAAGGGCGTTGTATGCTCCCTGCGTCCCGCTCCCGTTAGTAACATGGCTGCCGCGCGCTGAACTAGCTGAAGCTTCCGGGCCGTCTTCAAGGGCAGCCCCACGTAGAGAGCGTTGCAGTAGTCAAGGCGGGATGTGACCAGAGCATGTACCACCGTGGCCAAGTCAGACTTCCCAAGGTACGGGCGCAGCTGGCGCACGAGCCTAAGCTGTGCAAATGCTCCCCTGGTCACCGCTGAAACCTGGGGATCCAGGCTCAAAGATGAATCCAGGGTCACACCCAAGCTGCGAACCTGCGCCTTCAAGGGGATTGCGACCCCGTCCAGCACAGGCTGTAACCCTATACCCTGTTCGGCCTTGCGACTGACCAGGAGTACCTCTGTCTTGTCTGGATTTAATTTCAGTTTGTTCGCCCTCATCCAGACCATTACAGCGGCCAGGCACCGGTTCAGGACCTCGACAGCCTCCTTAGTAGCAGGTGGAAGGAGTGACAGAGTTGGACATCATCTGCGTACAGATGACACCGCACCCCGAACTCCGGATGATCTCACCCAGCGGCTTCATGTAGATATTAAACAGCATGGGGGACAGTATAGAACCCTGTGGAACCCCACAGGTCAAAGGCTGTGGTGTTGAACAGGAGTCCCCCAATAACACCTTCTGGGTACGACCCTCCAGAAATGACCGGAGCCACTGCAGAGCAGTGCCCCCAAGACCCATTTCCGCAAGGCGCCCCAGAAGGATACCGTGGTCGACGGTATCGAAGGCCGCTGAGAGGTCCAGGAGCACCAACAGGGACACACTCCCCCTGTCTAGCTCCCGGCGCAGATCATCCACTAAGGCGACCAAGACCGTCTCGGTTCCATGTCCCGGTCTGAAACCAGACTGTGCCGGATCCAGAATATCCGTGTCTCTCAAGAATACCTGGAGTTGTGAGGCCACCACGCTTTCCATGACTTTGCCCAAAAAGGGGAGATTGGAAACAGGCCGAAAGTTGTCAAATTTAGTGGGGTCTAGTGATGGTTTCTTCAACAGCGGTTTTATAATTGCTTGTTTTAAGCACGCTGGAATCTTGCCTTCCCGAAGGGAGGCATTAACCACCACCGTTACCCACTCAGCCAATCCCCCTCTGGCCTCCTTCAGAAGCCAGGATGGGCAGGGGTCTAGGATGGACGTGGTGGGCCTCATTCCTCCAAGTATCTTGTCCACATCCTCGGGCTTCACAAACTGAAAAGAATCCATCAAAATAGGACAAGCAGGTGCTCGTGTCACATCCTCAGAGACTGCATTTAACATGGTGTCCAGCCCAGAACGGATCAAAGCGACTTTGTCTGCGAAGAACCGAGCAAATGCTTCACAGCGCGTGGCCGAATTGTCAGGGCTCCCGCCTGAGGTGGTGGGAGTTAAAAGACCTCTGACAATCCGGAACAACTCCGCCGGACGGTTCTTTGCAGACGCAATAGTAGCCGCAAAGAAAGTTTTCTTTGCGGCTTTTATTGCCGCGGCGTATGCCCTTAAAAAGGACACAAACCGTATTTTGTTGTTGCATTTGTACATCTATGTACATCATCACAGTGCATCGCTAGTAAAGGACCAACATGTACAAATGCATCACATGCAATTTGAAATTGGAATTGGACACATTGCCTGTGCCATTTGACTTTTAGAAAGGGAAGGTGAAATGGAGCAATTGTCTATTATATTGGTAAGTGCATGCACAGTGGGAAGTATAAGCACCTGATTAAATGCATTTACTACATTTGCGTTTTACAATTGTGTATGAAAAGGCCTTCTATTTCATATTCAGTGTTCTTGTTCCACTTCATTTATTTCAGTCTTCAATTTTTCATAAACAAATCTTTTTTCTGTGTATGTAAAACCACATGAAATTTATGTCTATATATTATTTGAGAGATGTATTTCCTTCTTTGCTGTGTCTTGCTCCTAAATTAAATTCTGTTTATGATCTTTTTTTTGCTATTGGCTGTCCTTTGTTTTTTCCCTGGTCTCATAAAATAGTTAGATCGGAGAGCATGGTGGTGCCCAGTTTCCCTGAAAATAGGACCTACCCTGAAAATAAGCCCTAGCATGATCTTTCAGGATTTTTGAGGATGCTCCAAATATAAGCTTTACTTCAAATAATAAGCCCTAGTTAGCTCATAAAAAAATTAATTTAAATAGTATACATAGACCATAATAAATCTTTTGGAACAAAAATTAGTATAAGACCCTGTCTTATTTTCAGGGAAACAGGGTGTTAATAATTTTGCAATTACATATTTAGAAGCCATTAAAACAAGGGAGAAGCTCTTGTCCTGTGTTAGGTGGCCAGTTTTAGTGGTACGGTATTAAAATATTATTTCTCCCATTTATGCTAGTTATATGTGATATGAAATATCTTTACATTTGTGGCTATATAAACAAATTTGAAATTTTAATTACTTTAATCAGCCAGCTCTTGCTAGTTTTTGTTGGATTTGAAATTTTTAATGGGACCACTTTCTGTTTGGCAGGTCATAGCATGGTTCTTATATACATACTGTAAGTTTGTTGTTTATTCATTCAGTTGCTTCAGAGTCTTCATGACCTCATAGACCAGCCCACACCAGAGCTCCCTGTCAGCCGTGGCCACCCCCAGCTCCTTCAAGGTCAAGCCAGTCACTTCAAGGATAACATCCATCCATCTTGCCCTTGGTCGGCCCCTCTTCCTTTTTCTTTCCATTTTCCCCAGCATCATTATCTTCTCCAAGCTTTCCTGCCTTCTCAGTATAAAGCCAAAGTATTTATTTATTTATTTATTTATTTATTTATTTATTTCCTATATTTATACCCTGCCCAAGTTAGACTTCTCTTAGTACTTAGTCTTTGCCTCTAATATCCTTCCCTCCAGTGAGCAGTCGGACATTATTTCCTGGAGTATGGAATATGGGCTGGTTTGATCTTCTTGCTGTCCAAGGCACTCGCAAAAATTTTCTCCAACACCACGGTTCAAAATCGTCTATCTTCCTTCGCTCAGCCTTCCTTATGGTCCAGCTATGTTAGTGTGCTCATATCTAACTGATCTGTGTGTTTTCCCTGATTTCTTTAGTCTGATTCTAAATTGTGCAATAAGAAGTTTGGATCTGGACGGCAGTCAGCCCCAGGTCTTGTTTTCACTGAGTGGATGAATGTCCGCCACCTTTGGCTGCAAAGGATGTAGTCAGTCTGATTTCGGTGTTGACCAACTGGTGAAGTCCATGTACAAAGCCGTCTTTTAGGTTGTTGAAAGAGAGTGTTTGTTATACACAGTGAGTTTTCCTGGCAAAATTCCATCAGCCTACGTCCAGCTTCATTTTGTTGATCCCAGATGTCATTTGACTACCCACCTTAGCATTCCAGTCTCCTGTAATGAAAATAATGTCTCTTTTTGATAGGTGCTGCAGACCCTCGTAGAACTGATCTACTTCTGCTTCTTCAGCAGCTGTGGTTGAGGCATATATTTGGATCACTGTGATGTTAAATGAATTGAGATCATTCTGTCATTTTTGGGATTGTATCCAAGCACTGCTTTAGCAACTTCATTATTAATCATGAAGGCTACTCCATTTCTTCGGTGTTGCTCTTGTCCACAGTAGTAGATCTGGTGGTCATCTGTTGGTGGAATAGCCCATTCCAGTCCATTTCAGTTCACTGACCCCCAGATTGTCTATCTTTAATCTTGACATCTCACCAGTAACTATGTCCAATTTGCCCTGGCTCATAGATCTTACATTCCAGGTTCCTATGGTGTGTTGATCTTTAGAACATTGGATTCATAGTTCACCTCCAGCACTGTTGGCTGTTAGCCTTCCTTTCAGCTTTGAGCTTACTGCATCACATCTGGGGCTGAACTTATCCTCTGTTTCTCCCCAGTATCATTTTGACTATCTTTCGACCTGGAAGTCTCATCTTCCGATGGTATATCGACATATCTCTGGTTGTACTGATCCATAAGTGTAGTTATATTGAGTTAAATATATTGTATTAAATATAGTGTCGTTAAATATATTGAGTTGGCTCCACAGATATTTTCCCATTGTTGGAAAGGCTCCGGTAGAGGGGACTGGGATCCCAGGAAATCTTCCTATTGGAAGTTGCCAGTTTTCTCGAAGGTATCAACCCCATTTCCATCAGTCCCATTTCCAACAGATCTGGGATCCTCCACGACCCCTTCTTTCAGCTTGACTTGTTGTTGTTCATTCACTCAATCGTTTCCGACTCTTCGTGACCTCATGGACCAGCCCACGCCAGAGCTCCCTGTCGGTCGTCACCACCCTCAGCTCCTTAAAGATCAGTCCAGTCACTTCAAGGATGCCATCAATCCATCTTGTCCTTGGTCTTCCTTTTTCCTTCCATTTTCCCCAGCATAATTGTCTTCTCTAACCTTTACTTTCTTCTCATGATGTGGTCAAAGTACTTCAGCTTGACTTAGACTTCATTGATCCAAATTGGATCTAATCCGCTGACTTAGAAGGACTTGGTATTGGATTGTGGCTCACATATCTTTGATATAAAACCCTTAAAAGCATTTCTTAATTATAAACCTGCTTTTTGATTCACCAGGGAAAATATCATACTATACTGTGCATCTTAAACTGTGTGGTGGGTTTGCAGACCATACCAACTGATGTGGAAGAGATGTTTCTTGATCGAGCTGTTAAAGCATTTACAAAGGTAAGTAGCATAAGATATTGCAATCTTTTGGTTATGAGAGAATCAGCTGCTGCAGGTTAGGCTAGCAGGCTTACCGTAGTCATCTTGATAATAATCTATTTAAATTGACATTTCTTGCAGTGAATGAGAATTGACCATGTGATAGGGGCAGTTAGCATTAAGGTATCCATTTGTGGTTAGGTATTTCCATCTTTGTGAATCCCTGTGATTTATGTAACATGCAGACTGGGTTGGGAAAGCCATATGCATCCAGCTCTACGAGAGGTTTGCTATGGAGGTGAATACAAGAGGATATAGTAAGATGCTTCTCCAATACTGGGGTCAAGGTACCAAAATGTTTTAAATCAGAGTTTAGATGTTGGGAATGGGCTGCCACAATGTCCATCGTTCCTTCAACCTAAAGAAAGCAAGAACAAAACTATCTGAAGAAATGTTAATGTGAAAAACCATATGATAAAGTTAAAGCTATCCAGATTTCATATGTAATCAGGATTCTCTCTCCCCCCCCCCCATATTTTTAATTAAATATATTTTTACAGGAAAAACAAACAAGCAACAACACTTATACGTACAGGCACACCTAACAACAATTGCATATCAAACTATACAACATACATCTCTACTCTGATTACATATGTTTAAACTAAAAACTTGTATACAGTACTTACACTGATTAAAATTGATTTCTTCCTTCTCTTTTGTGGTTTTTCTATACTTTAGTGTTTTATTTCACCTTATATTCCACAAATAGTTTAAGTCTGTTTATTTTAACAATAACAAATAAACATCTTAACACTTTATATTTCCAAATCTATACATAAATATGAACTCCTAGTGGTGCAGCGGGTTAAACTACTGAGCTTTTGAACTTGCTGACCAAAGCGTTGACAGTTCAAATCCCAGCTTCTGTCAACCTAGCAGTTCAAAAACATGCAAATGTGAGTAGATCAATAGGTACCGCCTTCGCAGGAAGATAATAGCGCTCCATTTAGTTATGCTGGCCACATGACCTAGGAGGTGTCTACAGACAATGCCGGCTCTTCGGCTTAGAAATGGAGATGAGCACCATCCCACAGAATTGAACACAACTAGGCTTAATGCCAGGGGAAATCTTTACCTTTGCTTTTATACATAAAGCCTTTCCCTCAGATTTATATTGGTAAAAAGGTTTCCATTCTTCTAAGAACGTGTTCAGTGGCTTATCCCTCAACAGCATCATTAACTTGTCCATTTCTATTATTTCCCACATTTTACTGTCCAGTCTTCTGCAGTTGGTATCTTTGTCATTTTCCACTTTGGAGCATACAGGATTTTCCAGCTGTTGGTGTGTCCTGCAGTGCAAATAACAAAGTGTTGGAAGTGTTCAGTTCATGATGGCTCTCACTACCATATGTGGTGGACCTATAAAAAGGGTAAACAAATCTGGAGACAAATTCATGGGGTAATCCAAGAAAACCTTAAAACAAGAATCAACTTTAAGCCAGAGCTTACATTACTACGGACATTGGATGATCAAATAAAAAAGGAACATGAAAGACTAATCAGTGCTTGTTATGAATCTCCTTTTAAGCACTGAATCTGGCTAGCTTTAACCTATACCAAGAGGCTCATCCCTTCCCATATGAAGAGTCCATCTTAATTAATTGCATGTTTTCTGGGAGTATTTTCAGTCTGAGCCATAAGGGGTAATACATGGCTGGGTTTTGTGCTCAGCTTGGCATATGCTGTTTAGTCATTGGTGCCTCTGGCAGAACTACACAAAGACCTATTAATAAGAAGACACCTTCTAGCGTTCATTTTCTTAGATCAGTTAAAGTCAGCGTTGGTTTGGTAAGACTTACTCATGTGTATCATCCTGCAAAGGGTTGCTGAAACATCGGCTTTGAATAATCTGATTTCTTGTGCACATTTTACTTCAGTTATTGTTCATCAAGAGGATCAGTTTATCCAAGGTAGTACAATACAGCCTTTTATATTTTTCTGGTTTTCTTTTTACATTAAATAATATGCAGTGTCAATCTGCCCATGCAGAATAGCTGCTCTGTTCTTGAAGTCCTAATGTGCTTTTATTTGGCTGTCAGGGGTGAAGGGAGAAGAGTAAATTGTATTACTCTCAGCATTTCTTCTAATGTAGTGTGAAATAGGTGAAGTAATTGGAAGAGAAGGAATTGTGAGTCATACTTGACAATAGCTTTGAACTGCTAATTCAGAAATGTTTTATATTTTGTTCCTGCTGCTCTGTTTAATTCTTTTAGCTACATCTAATAGTCATTATAGATCAAATACAGAAATTATTCAAACAATTCAAACTATATTCTCCTAATGTTTTGAAATAGTAGGTGCTTGCATTTTATACCTGGCCCTACTGTAGTTAGGTGTCATATTTTTAATAAGGTAATTAAGTTTGGTTTTAATTTCAACAGGTGAGTTGTGATGCTGAAGATGGAGCATACATTTACAACATTTTGAAGAATGTTTTCAGACAGATCCTGGAACACCAAAGAAAATCTTCCAAGGAAGGATCAGAAAAGCCATTATGATGCTTATAGTACTAAGCTATAGATTTCTGGAGCCCTCCAAAGCTACCGTTCATTTAATTATTTTGTATCTCCTGGTTTCTGTTAAGTTATTGTATCTACATATGTATATAAATTGATATTTAAGTTGCCATTTTTGGATTTGTACTGTGGCATTTGGTATTTGACTTGTAAAATATTTTTTGTTGTTTTTGAAAGTTTCTTATTAATAAGCTATGAGTTGGATCCAGCACAAGCCTCCCATAGGCAGAAGGGCTCATTCTGCCCGCAGGATGCTTCTGACAGTTGCTGAAGACAGAGGGAAAAAATCTTTGTCCGTTGTTTTATGTCCTGGAAAATTTATAGGGATGCTCCAAAAATAGTGGGGTAGGTGGTGCTGGGGGTTACAGTAAGAGAGAGGATTACACAAAAATCTCCCCTCCTGCTTATGGGTATATTTCTGGGTTGAACACCTCTCAGGCTGCTCCTGCTGGCAGAATAACAGCTGGAATCAAGACATTTTTTTTCCTTTTAACTACTGCCATACATTCAGTGCCATGTCATGAAATGGTTTATTCAGTTAAGTATCTTTGTATTAACACTTTTAAGTATACATTCTGATGTATACATAAATGATATTGCATTTTACTTTGATGAATAAACACTAATTGATACTTGTCTCTTTCTTAGGAGTAAAAAAGGGACTGATTGCGAACTTAAATTTGTAGGCAAATATTTGAACGTAATTCATAATACAGAGATGGACAATCACACGCCAATAGACTCTTCACTAGAAACTGAGAACTTCTGACTTTAAAAAAATATTGTAAGATTAAAAATCCCCACCTACTGGAAAAACAGTAGTGTAAGGCATATATTGTAATATCTCCGAGACCAGAAGAGTAAAATGAAACATGAAATGCACTAAACTTTCCTAATTTCCTTCTCAGACCAGGAAAGATGATGAGTGTTCCCAGTGATTCATGCTTTCTTAGAGCCTTAGGGCAGGAATACTTCAATATGCAATCTAATTCAGCTTGTTCCTGCTCTAGCTGCCCTTATGGTTCCAGATTGCTGTTTATTTGCATCTTGTGTTTCTGTGAGATAAAAAAGGGATAAAATGACATTTTGTTGTGTTGGAATGTGTGCAAAATAAGTGACAGGAGCAATGAAAGAATACAAACATACATTGCTATATAACACATTTCCCCTATCTCTAATAGACTTCCCAAAAGCAAGACTGACACTAAGTTAGCAATCTTAGTGTGAAACCATGATTTATGATTCAGAGAAAGTTCTGACATCTTTCCTTATTATTTTTTAATTATTATTATAGGACTTTGGAAACAATTAGGTGACTTGTCCTGGTTTTTAGCATTTCAGGAAATTACAATGTCCCACTTGGAGCTGATGTGTTGTAATGGTTTGAATGTGGGCTCCAGAAACCAAGGTTCAATTTCCCCGTTGATCTATGGAAGCCTATTGGGTAACTTTTGAAGAGTCACACATTTTCAGTCCCAGAAAACCCTGTTATCAGGTCACACGCTTACATCTTATTTTTCCCAACCTAACATATGTCATAGGATTACTGTAAAGGTAAAATGAGAAGGGAAACAATCCCAGCCCAAATATATTTGAATACTTAAGGTTAACATTTTGCCCAGCAGTGCCAATATCTTGTTTTTCTCTACTCACTTGTGAGGTTAGGAATTGAGCAATTGTGGACATCTGGAGAAAGAAGTCAGAGGTACCTTCTTGTATCCTCAGTTCATTGCCACTTCATGGTAAGGTTACTCCTATTCATCATGAAAGCTCGTTAGTAAACCACCACATCTTGGTTGGCACCAGGAGAAGCTTGCCCTGGGTGACTGAAACTCTGGAAACAGACTTATAAGAAAGAGGGATATAAATGAACTCCTTGAAGCAGAGTCTTTAAAATAAAACTGACCTCAGCCCAATGGCACATCAAAGTACCCTGGGAATATATACTCTGATTTTCATTTCTCTTAAGGCTGAAGAAAAATCCATCTATGATGTGCTCAATTAAACTTGCATAAACCTTATTAGTTTTTACTAATTAAAATGTTTCTGTCATTCCCTACATCATACCATTTCAGGGCTAGATAAAGTAAAATCATTAACCAGTTTGAACTAATAAAGAACAATTAAAATAATTTAGACAGACCAAAGTGTATCCAATCACTTGATACTTCGTAACTGTCTAACTATAGGACAATGTCTTCCACGCTCGCCATAGTGCACTGCTCCCAATGGTGAGACACAGGAATATGCAAATGAGAAAATACTTTTGAAGGAAACATCCATTTTTGTTTAGATATCATAGCAGGCATTATTTATTAAAACATTATTTGGGTGGTGATCCTATTTTAAAATCGTGCTTACCATTTGCAAATTTTGTGACCATCAGTACTCATGTTGGTAGTACCCAAGGATGGCTTTGTATTAGGGAAGAGTTCTGCAACAAAGGGCAACCAAATTTGATAGATCCCCTCCCATCCAATAAAACTCTGAAAGCCATACACTCCCTGAGGTTTTTGCAAATTCATGAAATTTTTGTTTTGGAGGGAGGGATGTGGGGAGAGGGTTTGGCATTTATTAAAGGGAAATGAGTGAAAATCAGATTCTCTGAGCCCTAAGTTGCAAGTGTTTCCCACTAACACAGTGGTTGTCAACCTGTGGGTCCCCAGATGTTTTGGCCTTCAACTCCCAGAAATCCTAACAGCTGGTAAACTGGCAGGGATTTCTGGGAGGTGGAGGCCAAAACACCTGGGGACCCACGGATTGAGAACCACTGCCGTAACACAAAGCTGCCACTGGGTGACAATCATTTAAGGCTGACAGAATATTTTCATTTTATTTTGATTGATCCTAAAATTATCCTTAAAGAAAGCATAGTGGGCAAATTATCTATCTATAGTGAATCTCCCTATTTTTCTGGTTGTAAATCAAAGATAGCATGTAAGCAATAATTTCATTGCTGACATATACTTAGTTGTCAGTTACTTTTGTTTTAACCATTTCTCATGTTAGGTTTCTAGTTAGAAATAAAGCTGAGGGTAACCTCATCTACATTGCTTTTGCAGTTCTTTACATGAGTGTCCCACTCCCAATACTTAGCATTGGTTTATAAATCTAATCATAAAATGCAATATATGTATTCAAACTTGATCATACTTGAGATTAGACGTTGATATAAACAACTAATATGCTGGGTTTTGGATATTAAGTCTTGAGGGTAGAGAACCGTCAAATTAACAATAATAAATCATTTGTTAAAAACTGTATAAATAATAGACTATAAATAAATGACAACGATAATCTACTCCAAGTATGACAAAGCCCAGATACAACCTATTATTTGGGCTGATCGTTATGAAACTCAATTAGCAGAATGATTTTTTATTGTTGAATTTGCATACATTTGATATAGAAATGGTTGCTTTGGGTTCGGAATTTATTGCAAAGGTTAGAATGAACTTGGATTATGTTGCTATGGAGCTACTATGACATACCATTTAGAGGCATTCAGAGCCATTCTAGAACATAGGCTTGAATCCTAGGCTGGGACAACAGCCTTGATCTTTTGGCCACACCAATGTTATGGAGGCTTTGGCGCAGGTGCTTTCATGTCCTATATGTTTAGAGTTGTTCACACCTCCGGTGCTGTTCTTGACCTGTGCTCATAACTTCTGCAAGAAATGTCTGGAAAAAATCCTTGCTCGCCAGAACTGTAGTCATGTCAATGGACAATTCTCCTGCCCCATGTGCAGAAAAGTAAGTAGTCCCAAAACTGTGTTTACGCTCACCCTCTATAGCTGAAAAAACCCTTTTAAGTTGTTAATAAATAAACTCCAAGAACTGGTTTTTATAGAACTGAGCAGGCTATTACAATTGTTGGGGAATCTGAGCTGTTAGGCTCAAAATAACCCTCAATTGGGGTGACTCCACCATAAATATAGAAGAGTGCCAGAAGTATACTTCATAATCAGCAGAAACTTACAGTGTGGTGAAGCTGGGACAAGCTTCTATTCTCAGGATGGCATAGGATTGCAAAGTCAGAACTTCAGCTAACTTCAGTAAACTAAATACATTCTTGATCGAAAAGGTCTTGGAGCTAATTGCAGCTAATTAATTGCTTACTAAACCTCATCTTCTAAAGAAGTAAAAGAGTAAAAAGTCAAAATATCTATGCAACTACATTTTGCCTAAAGAGAGAGGCAAAATGTACATTGTCACTGGAAGGAAGTAAAGAAGAAGAAACAATGGTGGCGAAAAGGCCACATGGCCAGCCCAGAGCAATAAAAATACCTTTGAAAAGGAAGTTCCCTCACAGAGCTTCCATTGTTACATCTTCAAAGGGGGAGGGGACAGTGGATAGGAGGTATAAAGATAAAGCCCTTTTGGTAAACATGGATAGGAATGTGGGGTAGGAATCCCGCAGCCTAATCCTATCGCTAGTCTAGCATCTCATTGAGGACTGGAGACAGGATGACAAGAGAATTGTGCAGTCCAGGGATGAAACCCAACAACGATATGCCATTTTTGTCTGGAAAGGACACGGTCCTGAGACCATGTAACTCTCCCAAATCATTAATACAGATTTTGCAGAAAAACAAATTGGAAGTCTGGGATGTCTGTGTGTGAGTGTGTAAAGAGAGAGCAAGAGCGAGCAGCGGATCTTGACCTGTGGGCCGCAGACCACAAATGGGTCGCGAGTATGAAAATCTGGTCTGCAAGCCTCCTTCCTCTTTATTTTTATTTCTGCTTCTTTTGCGCTGCCTGCTACTCCTTCCCTATTGTTCACCATGGCATATGTTCTGTACCAGAAACCAGAGCTGATGTGGTCTATCCAATGCAATTTTCTGAATCAGCACCCAAACCAAATCTAAAGTAGTCCAAAAACTGATTTGTAACCCCTTTGGTACTTACGTTGGAGAGTGCTCTCTGGTCAAAAAAAAGTTGGGAACCACAGATATACAGCAACTAAGTTTGAGAGACCCTTTAAGACTATTTAAATACTGGTAACTTCGAGAACAAAATAAAGCTACATTTTAACTAGGTTTTTTTTCTCTACAGCACATGTACACTAATAACATTTTTCAATTTTAACTTTTACATTTTAATAAAATCTAAAATACTATTGAAATTACTATACTGTCCCAACAA